CTGCGCCCTCTACAGCTAAGATGGTGAACAACAGCTCGACCTGGAGCTGGGCTGCCATGAGTCGCCGGCAACGGCATAGGCTGCAGTGGGCTCCCGTAAGCTACTGTGAGCGGCCGGCAGAGGCGTGAGCTGCCAAGAGCCGCCGTGAGCGGCTCTCCAGTGGCCGGCGACCAATCTGCCTCACCTGGGAAGAGTGCAATGATCACAATACCAACAAGGGCCAGTGATGTGACGTCCTCCACAACTAGACTGAAGAACAAAAGGACAGCAACTCGTCTGTTCCCCTCCCCCGATTCCCCAATAAAATCTTTAAGAAAAATAAAAAATATTAAAAAAATAAAAATAAAATAAAATAGAAAGATTATCTTGGATTATCCAGATGGGCCAGTATAATCACAGGGCCTTAGCAATGGCAGCAGACAGAGAAGGGAGAGGGAGATGTGATGGTTGAGGGCTGGGTCAGAGTGAGGCAACCTTGCTGTCTCAGATGGAGGAAGGGGCCTCGAGCCAGGAATGCGGGCAGCCTCTAGAAGGTGGAAAAGGCAAGGGAACGCGGGCAGCCTCTAGAAGGTGGAAAAGGCAAGGGAACGGGTTCTGCCCTAGAACCTTCAGAGGGAAGCAGCCCTGACACCTTGATTTTAACCCTGTGCGACCCGTTTTGGACTTCTGACCTCCAGAACTGGAAGAGAATAAATGTGTGCTGTTTTTAGCCAGCGATTTGTGGCAAGGTGTTACAGCAGCCACAGGAAGCTCATACGGAGAGGCTTGGGGGCACTCGGCAAGGCCTCCAGCCAGAGGAGCTGGGACTGAAACCAGAGTCTGTCGGCTTCAAAGTCTGTGGGCTCTCAGTGGCATAGCAGCCCCTCCCACACGCTAACCTATCAGCACTGCTTAAAACGAATCCTTTCTGTCATAAAGAAACGCGGCAGAGGCTGTTGTGGAGAGTGCTCGAGAGGGGCTGGAGGGGACAGTCAAACGCGATCCATCGCCTGACCATCATGGCCAACACACACCGAGCACACATTTTGTGCTCAGGACTTGTGATACATTATCTCACTGAATCCCCATTTTACAGATGAGGAAACAGGCTCAGGGAGGTCTAGTAACTTGCCCTGAGCCACTCGGCAAGTGAGCGGAAGAGCCACCAAGCATACAAACTTTGGTGTGTTGACTCCTGAGCTCAAAATCGGAATCATTACTCTATACTGGCTCCTTTAAGGAAAAAACAACAACATGGGTGCGTATGCTCATATGCGTGAGCACATGTGTGCACACACACGTACACATCTGTCAACACGAAGGCTCAAGGTGGCCCTCCAACCAGGACAATGGGTCTGCCAGCTGAGGAGGCATGAGCCCTCAGAGGGCACAGTGTGCCCAGCCCACACTGGCCCTGTGCCCCTGGAGGGACGGGAGGACCCCCTCCTCCCCCATCTGTGTGTTCACAGGAAATTTGCCTGGAGAGGTGAGGTGAGAATCCCCCTCTCTGCCAAGTGAGATGTGAGGACATGGGTTATGGGACTTCACATGGGTGTGTCTGGCAGGATTACCTGCCTACAGGAAGGTCATGCTGCCCTCTGTGGTCATGCTGGTCCCAGCTCCCCACGATGACCTGCTTCGGAGCCTGTTAGAGGTCAGGGCTTGCTGGGCTGGCCGCCTGGGCTTGACTGTATCCCCCCGGTCCTGGACCGTGTCCCCCTGGTCTTGGGAGCTCTAAAGGACCCCAGAAACTCTTCCTCCCACCTGGGAAGGACCCGGTATCAGCTCCCTCTGCTCACCTGCCTGCAGCCCGAAAGGAGGGAGAGCCGGGTTCTCACACCCAGGGAGCCACCACCATGAACTGGGACCTCGCAAAGGGGCTTCCTTGAGTCCCCTACCACAGTGGCGTTAAATCTAGAAAAAATGACAACGGGGGTCTGCTGACAACATGCTAGGCCGGCCACCTTGAGCGGCTGCTCATTTTGTCTCTTTGAACTACAAACTCCCTGAGGGCAGGCAGGTTTCAGCTCAACCCTGAAAAGTCCATCTGATCTTTATACCTGCGAGTGTCAGTAAATGACCTGAAAAGGTCTGCAGGACTAGACCCGGGAGGACGGCTAACAGGCAGGCCTGGAGCTCCTGGACGTTTCTACTTGAGAATGACTGAAAGCTGGATCGATCCTTCCACAAGAAGGAGGACTGGACATCCGCTCCTAATCCCTTTGCTCCTGGTAACAGCACCCCAATTTCACCCACAGAAACCCGCCGCCCCACTCTCAAACACCATGGCTTGGCTGGGGCTGGAACACCACTGCTTCAGAGACAGGCCTGTGACCCACGGCTGGCCAATCAATCATTGAACCATTCTGAGTGATGGCTCAACCCAGTCACAGCCAGGGAGACTCAATTCCTGGACCCTTGTGGAACTGCTGGGCAGAGGACACCAGCCTGTCTGTCCACTCGATTGGGAGCTGGGGGGATTTAAGGCAGCCAGGCGCAGGTTGAGCAGCCTCTGGGCAGAGAGGACCTGCCTAAAGAGAGAATGAGTCCTGACAACACTGTTTGAGTCCCTTGAAACATGCCTGGAGTTAGACCTACTCAGAGACCTTCTGGTTGGGCACACGAGTCAATAAACCAATCCAGAGGACACCCCCGGACCCAGCATCAGAAAAGCTGCAGTTGCGGGCCGGCCAAGTGACTCAGTTGGTTAAGAGCTCGCTCAAGAGTTTGAGCTCTGAGCAACAGCGGTTTGAGTCCCAGCCCGAGCTGAGCAGCCGCTGAGCTGCCAACAGGTGGCAGGAGGCTCAGCTAAAAAAAAACAAAAAAACAGAAAAGCTGCAGTTGCTGTTGTTTGACCCAGTTAGACTCCCTAGCTGCTGCAGGCACGCACTGCACAGGCTCTGCTAGGGGCTGTCAACGTGATCTATTCTGTTCCACAGAATGATTACCTGAGAAGCAACAAAATTCACTGGTTCAAGTGCAGATGCCCTGGGTTCAAATCCTACGTAGTCACTTACTAGCGGTGTGATCTTAAATTACTGACTCTCAGAGTCTTGACCAGTGAAAAGAGGTTAATAACAGTACCCACAAAGGCACTTACTGTGGGGAACACGTGACTTTATTATTTGTCAAGTGCTCAGAATGGTCCCTGGCACATAGTAGGTGCTCACTAAATACGGGCTTTCACTAGCTGTGATGGGTCAGTCATGCATTTGCTCAGGCAACAAACATTTATTAAGCACCAACTGTGTGCCAGATACTGTGCCAGGTGCCTAGAATACTTGGTGAGTAAGAGGACATGTCCCCTGTCCCCCGAGGATCTTACAGTCTTTTGGAGAAGATACATGGCAACGAACAGCCACAAAGCGTGGTGAGTTGCCATGGTAATCCATGACTTTGGCTTCACCACAGCCCAACCCTGACAAGTTGAGCTACTTGGATGCAGAAATGAAAATGACTAATGCCCATGTAGGGGCAGTTGGGTGGTTGTCAGGGGAGCAGGCAGCCAGGACCAGAGCAGAGGCCCAGACCTGGACCAGCCTCCACTCCTCCGTCACAGAAGGGCCTGCGTCGGACCAGCCCCTGCCCATGAAGAACAGGGCTGTTGTCACCAGTCATCTCAACAGGTTCCCTATGGGGCAAGTGATTCCCGCCCAATGGCTTCTAGAAAGGGTCCAGAGCTGAAATTCCCAAGGGCTTCTGTGGCACAGGCAGACTTCCCCCCTTCCTTCCTGGGCATCCCAAAACCAGGGCAAGTCTGGTCAGCACATTCTGTGCTTTTTTCCCCTCGTGCCCAGCAGAGCACCTGGTCCAATAAGCAAAAGGTACAGAGCCGGAGCTAGGGGTTGTCCACCGTACCCCCCTCCCTGACTGCATGGAGCCGTCATCTCTTGCAAACATTCTCATGCTGAACTAGGAGGTTTACATACTTCACTGAAATCATCAGACCTTCCTTTTTCAGATGGAGGAACTGCAGCCCAGAGAGATAAGTTACTTGTCCAAGGCCACACAGCAGGTCGCTGGGAGGTCCCCTAAGATTTATGGGATCAGGTACTGGTTTCCCAGGAGTCCTGGCCAGCATGACAAATTATATATGTGCTCTGGCCAGGGCTGGCCTTTATCATTCAAAAGACCTTGGCAGCTGGGACGCTGCCCTATGGACCAGCCCCTGGCTTTGGGGCTGGGGTGGCCATGTCACATTTTCCTAAGGCTGGGGGCTGGATTTGGACCGGGCCTCCATGGGGAGGCTAAGTCCTGGTTGAGTAATTAGGGATCCCTAGTGATGGTGGAAGGGCCCTGGCTGAAGGCTGAACAGGGTCTGGGGTTCCACATGCCTGGTGTGGGAGAGGGGGCCTTCTCCTGAGGGGTAAAGGCACAAACTAAGAGGAGGACACTTCAAACTTCCTCACCTTGAAGTAAAGAGCCAAAGGTTGAGGACCCAATGAGATGACACTCAACAGATCCAAGGAAGGAACATCAAGTGGGAGAGGTGTGCGTCCTGGGTGGTTTCCTAGCACAGTTGTTTTCAAGCCTATTTTTACTCTTTAAAGCAATGACATTTTAAAACTCTCTCTCTGTCTCTCTTTCTGTCTCTCTCTTACATCGGCTTCTAAGCCATGAAACAGAAGTAAAGCTGATCTAGTTAAGTGGAGGCAGGGACCCCTCAGAACCCTATCTACTCAACTTCCCACGTGGTCACACTTTCTTGGAGCCCTGTCAGGGACTCTGGAACCCAGTTTGGAAATTTGGTTCTAGAACCTCAAGTGGTGTTGGGGGCTGCCTTGGAGGCTGTCGGGGCTCAGATGGGTCAGAGGTCTGTAGGAGCGGGACATGCAGACAGGAGACAATTATCTATAAACAACCCCCAGGAGTGCGAGGTGTTGGTTTATTGATCCAAATGTTTTTCTAGCCCCTTTCCTCAAAGGCCACTGAAAGGGAATTCAAGGTCACCTTCCCCAAAGCAGGGAATGGCCAACAGAGTTGGAAAGGTTTGGGCTGGGTGGCCTTTGCCAGGCTGACGGTATTGGCAGTAAGTACCACCAGGCCGCATATCTGTACTGTCCACCCCGGGCCTGACCCTGGCTTCTTGGTCCCAGGATGCCAGAGGGTCTTCTGCCTCTGACCTGAGCCTCAGTCCTGGACCTGACTACAAACCTGAAGGAGATAGACGGGTTTTGCTCAGATCTAGTCCAAGCCTTTTTAACCTGGCATCTGGGATAGGCATGAGGGCGTAGAGGGAAGGGGAATGTCCAAGGACCCCTTAAAAGTATAAAAATATGTATCTTTGTGCATTCTTCTTGGGACAGGGGTTATACTTTCTTTAGACCCTCAAAGGGCTCTACAACCAGCAAAAGATGAAGACTTACTGCAACCTCAGTGGACACTTCCTTCAAGAAGTCTTCTGAGGTTTCCTTTAAGTTACAGTGATCCCTCCCTTCTCTGTTCTATCAAAGCTTTCAGTCACTTCAAAGGATCCCGCTTGGTGACCTCAGGTTTGGCTGGAAGGAGCCAGCGCTCACTCATCCCTGAAAGCTGGCTCCCTGCATATTTGAGGTGCGACACTGGTTGTCAAATGAATGAAATATGGCTGTGCCGGTTTCCTGCTTATCAGTTAGTTGTTTAAAGCAAAGCCTGATAACCAATGACTACCTTAATCCTCTGGCAAGTATCCCAGTCATTGTATGCAAATACTGCGACTCAGGCCCTTAAAAAAAAAAATGTTTTTGTAAAAGCAAATTTAACTACATCCTGGCCCCATCCTGTTGACTCTGTACTGCTTATCAGTTCTCTCTCCAGAACCCTGTGTGCAAGGGGCCCCATTATTTAACAGCTTGTCTCTTGACCTCTCCATAACCCTGAGTGGGGTAGGCGGGCCAGGCTGAGGTTATAGATTCCTGCAGGGAAGGCCCTAGTTTTGAAGCTAGGAATCCTGGGTTCAAAGTCCAACTCAAGCCTGGGCAACTCACTTCACCTGCATCTTAGCAATGGGCTGCTCATCACACGTGCCTCTGGGCATGGGCAAAACAGTGAATGTGAAAAAGCACCAGACAGTCATGCACAGTAGTTCAGTCATATATAGTATCAGTCATGCACAGTACCACAGTCATGCACAATATCACAGTCATGTAGAGTACCACAGTCATGCACAGTACCAGTCACTTTAGTACTATATCACGATAATACTACAGTCGCATGCAGTACCACTACATACAATATTATAGTCACATACAGTACAACAGCCACGTGTAGTACCACCATCACATACAGTCACAGATAGTACTATGAGCCCAAGGAAGCAGTCAGCTCCCCCAGCCCCTGCCACAGGGTCTAAGTTACAACTGAAGTTCAGAGTGAAAGATGTGAACGTAGGTCTGCCCTTCACCCTTCCACCTCCTGCTCCTGTCCTCTCTTCAGCACCCTGAAAAACCTGGACAAACGAATGACATACCCTGACATAACAGCTGAAGGACCCCGGTGAGGTCATGCTGAGAAGGGCTGCCTTCTTTTAATTTTTAAATGTTGGTAGATTAATGCTGGCGTCTTCCTCCTGGCCCCTGACCCTGCCTCGGTCACGTCCTCACTGAGGTCACTCTGGTAATGACTGTTCACAGAATCTAAGGGGTGAAGAGGCCTGGATAGCCGCCCAGACCCAAACTCGCCCCGCTGCAGGAATCTCGAGCACGCGCCCTTGAACAGCAGCCTGCTCACCTGCAGGAAGCTGCCGAGGGCGGGAAGGGGGTCCCGGGGCGAACCCCCAGCCTATTTCATCCTCACGGGCCTGTGCGGCTCCCCACGCCCCCTGGACTAGGTCCCATGCCTCTGCAGTAGGGGAGGCGGCTGATACGGTCTCCAGCCCCCTACAAACGCCCACAGATTTGCCATCCACCCTAAGTCACGGCCTCCAGTCCTCCTCCTCCGAGCCTGCTGCTGGACACTCTCCAGTTGCTCAAGGACCCTCTCACAGTGTTGACCAGTACTGACCACAACGCTGACCAGAAGTCCTTCGACAAAGAGCAGAAATCATCGCCTTCGCTCTGGGCACCAATACAGCTGCTTTTATTTTATTTTTAGGGGAGTTCATTGTCACCACTTGCTGGAGTGGACTCATCTTTCCAAAGCATCAGGGGCTTTATCAATCTGGAGACAAAGTCATCGCACCAGGACGTCAGTGCCACTTGGAGAGAACCTGGTTTATGGGGTTCCCTGTGGCAGCTCCAAGGCCTAGCTGGCTGAATTAAAGAACAAATCCGACATAGTCCCAATTTCCCAGAGCCACGTCACCCTCAAGTTCGGCAGCATTTTTCACCCAAGACATGAGCAAGCACGGATCAGGACCCGGCTGACCGCAGGTCTCCCCAGCAGACTCTGAGGCCTGGGTCCAAGGTGAACCCCACCCACTCTGCCAGCTGCACACCAGCCTGCCTAGATCCCCCTCTGCCCATACACGTCATTTGACCGTAAAGATACTGGAGGAGATGTCAGCTTCAGCATCTTCTAAAGCCCAAGTGTTCTAGAGTTCGCTGCTGGGCCCTGCCTGCTCCCCCACCCCTGCCCTGCTCCCCCACCCACCACACTC